ACCCCGCAGGCCAAGCTGAACCCGGGGGCTGCCGGCTTCTTTCGGGGCCCGGGTCCTGCCCTGCGCCCGGGCGAAGCGGGTGGCGAGAATGCAGACTTCGGGGCCTGCGTCCGGCGGACCTGCAGAGGCTGGTTTTTCTGCCCTTGCATCGCGATCTTTACAACAGCCCTGCGAAGTAGGCTGGGCTGGAAGGGAGGTGCATAACCCTGGTGGCTGATTCCTCAAACCCTAGCTTAGGGTGGAGCCAGCGAGGGTGTCTTGGTCGGTGGCTGAGCAAACCATGGTTGGCTTTGTATGGAGCAGGCACAAGTATGGGTTAGATGGGAATGAAATGGGAAAGATGCAAGGTGTCTCCCTTGATAGCTTAGTCCTGGTCATTTCAGTAAACCATGATTAACTGTGGTTTAACGTGACCTGTGAACCAGGTCAAACGTTGGCCCTGAGATGCTCAGGGAACGTCGGAGCTCAATGGGGGCTTGAACCCAGGCCCAGCACGCCTGCCTCGTTCAGCCCTTGGATTCCCCTGGGGCCAGCAGTATTCCAAGGACAACAGTCCTCGTCTTTGTGCGTGCCTTCCTCACAAAAGTGTTGTTAGAAACCTGCAACCAAATCATGATGCGCGCAGATTGCTTTGGAAACTGGGTAAACTTGTCCAGTTGTAAGAGACTCGTTTGGAACCGTCCGTAAGAGTGCCTCTGCGGACGTGCTGAGTGTCAGCCAGTCGTGGCAATCAGCCACTGTGCAGTTTACTGAAAGACCAGGATCCAGGCAGAATATAAATAAGTCCTGCCCGCAAGGAAATGCATGCAGGATGCGTTGCACATCGGGTGCTTCAGCATCCGTCCCTTCTGATGGGGCTGAACGGTTGCATTGCACAAGCGAGTGCTGCAGTGCTCCGGTTGTGCCAGTGCTCACCAGCATGAACCAGGTGGCCCAAAGTGCCAGGCGCAGCATTGTGACGTCACCCCAACCGTGAAAGCGTTTTTCCTTCCCAAGTCAGCCAAACCCAACCGCTCTCCTGTCGTGTGAACCTCGTGCTTGGGTGTTACTGGAGGAAAGCACCTCTTGAGATTTGCACAAGCACATCTGTGCTTTCACAGATCCGTGCGTGCACGGATTTCTGCTTTCACTGGAAAGCCAGCTTCTGTGGGTGACTTGGCCACCCCCTCGTGTCCTCTCGGCTTTCCAACGCACTTTCTGTCTGAACCCACTTCCCGAACCCAGCTTAGAAAAATCAAATCACGATCTTGCTCGGAGGTTGGGGAATAGTTTCTTCTCCTTCCAATCTTTTTTTTTTGGGGGGGGGAAGCAGGAAAAAGAGCCTTGCAAGGAATAGAGAAACTCCCTTCTGACGAGGCAGAGACTCAGTTGTTTTTCACAGGATGCATTAAACCCGGATTAGGGTTTCCTTTGTGTGTGAGATGGTGTTCTGCAGCAACAAAATAATCTTTGAGGCTATTCTTTTTTCCTTCTTACCTGCTGCTGAACCAGGCTCTTTTTACAAAATTGGTTTTCTTCCAGAGGAAAATCAGAAATGTATTCATATTCAGTCAAAACACTGATCCAGCAGATTCTTTTATACCAGTGTTTCTCAATCTTGGGAACTGTAAGATGGATGGATGTCAACTCCCAGAATTCCCCAGCATGGCTGGGGAATTCTGGGAGTTGAATCCACCCATCTTACAGTTCCCAAGGTTGAGAAACACTGTTTTATACTGACAGGCAGTAGCTGTCCAAGTTTTCAGGAAGTTGTTTCCCACCCCTCAGCTTGACCTAGAGAAGCCAAAGACCCTCTGCAACCCAAGAGGGGTCATTCCTCTAAAGTCAAGATCCTAGTCCTCATGGCTGCCTTATAATGCGATGGTCAATCCCTCCCACCCAGTACAAATGACACTCACAGATCCAGTATCTTTCCTTGTGGGCACCTGATTTTTTTAGCTGGACCTGCTAAGAACTGAATCCAAAGCTGCTTCGGGCCAAAAAAAAGATCTTGAAGCTGTTGCTCTGCAATTGTGAGACTTAGACCCGTGTCCTCTCTCCCCCATAGCCTCCTGAAGGGTTCCCACCTTTGCTACGACACAGTCCTTTTTAAATTTCAGCCCAACATTCAATGCATGGAGATCCCCCACTTAGTATTGCCTTTTAATGAAATAGAAATGAGATCTGGACTTTGGCCTGTCCACTCCCTTGTTGTTGCTGAGCGCATGATTCCCCCCTCCCCTGGCAGGCCACTCAAGAAGCCTTTACCGGGAACAATGAGGACTAGCATCTTATTTCTCCCCTTGGAAAAAGGGGGGATAGCCGTGCACACACATGCTTTCTCTCTGCTGCCCGGTTTTGAGAGGATGGGAAAAGCTTGGGGTTGCCAGCCTTTCAATTCTTCCTCCCCCAGCTTTCATCCAGGCTGAAACTTGGGGGCCCATCTGCCACCAGGTGTCCCGTCCCGCTGTAAAGCTGTCGCCTTTTCAACCAAGAGGCTGCAAACCGCTGCGAGAGCCACGATTCCTCATTTCATTTCCTGTTTCCCCACTTCCTCACTTTCCTCCCACTCGACTCGTGGGTGGGGAGAGCTGCAGAACTGCAACTCTGAAGTGTAATGCAGGGTTGCAGCTCTGTGCAAGAGCAAGTGGGGGATCGGAAAGATTAAGATACCACCGAAATCGGGACTTCTCCTTTTGGGACGGGGATGGATAAACCGTTGGAAACAAGTCACGGAATGTTGTTTTTCTATCTGATCGCCCCAGGGAGGTGATTGTAGGCAGAAAGAGGGAAGGATTTGGCAAGACCCACCATGGAGGAATGGTTGGGGAAGGCGATGGAACGTGCGGAGGTGGCTAAACTGACTTCCTGGATCAGAGGAAAGACAATTATCGGCGTTTCTTGCTGACTGGAAACCTCTTATGGACTTCTTGCATAAAACAAAACAACCAAAAAAGAACTTATGATTTATGGTTTTGATGATTAGGCAGGATAGATTATAGAAAGAAGAGAGTCATGATGTAACTTGAGAGAAAGAGGGAAATGTATAATGGAACTTGCAACTGCTGCAAAGAAGATTGGAAGCCACTTTATACCTTTTTTCTTTCTTTTCTATTTTTCTTCTCTCTTTCTTCTTTTCTTTTTTCTTTTTGCTCTTTAGCTTTCTCTTTTATTTCCTCCTTTTTCTTTTTCTTTTCTTTCTTATTCTATTTTAGCTTTTATTCATTTTTCCTCTTGTTTTTAAAACTTTCAATAAGATTATACTAATAAAAGGAAGAGCAGGCAAAGTTGCATTTAGAAGAAGGGGTCCAGCTGCTCGCTTTCTTTCTTTCTTTCTTTCTTTCTTTCTTTCTTTCTTTCTTTCTTTCTTTCT